CAATTTTTGTTCATTCTTCTCATGTCTTTCTCTATTTCTCGGCGTAATGTGTTCCTTGGTTTTCCTCTTTTCCTTTCGCCTTGAGGGTTCCATGTGAGAGCTTGTCTTGTGACGCAGTTAGGTGCTTTCCATAGTGTGTGTCCTATCCACTTCCACCGCTTCTTCCTGATTTCGAACTCCGCTGGAATCTGGTTTTTTCTGTCCTACGGTAGGTTGTTGCTGATGCTGTCTGGCCAACGAATGTACTAAATTGTACTAAACATGTAATGTTGAATAAAGCGATTATTATTATCATTATTCTTTCGGTATGACACTACGTTTTACCTTAGAAGATTGCTACCTCACTACGGAATTCTTACGACACTTGGTAAAAACTGGAAAGAAGAGCCCAGGAGAGAGTAGTTTATGTAACACCTAGTCGAAGGCCTATGCTTCATAGAGACTAATAGAAGTTCGTACATAGAATTGAATGTGTAGTAACATTTAGATTAGTACCTATATTGTTATAACACTGACATTATGCTTTCGAAAGTTATTTCCTCTTATGAGTTGTTTAGTGCTTAGATAAATTAATGATTTATTAAGTTAATGCGGATTATGAGCTTTATCATCGATTCCCTCTTTCTTTTGCACTGCACAGGTTGGAAATTTAAAGTTTCTAGAGAAGCTAAGTAAGATTTAGTTGTTCATTCATATCTATTTATGAAATCTCAGAGGTTGAATGACTGTCATTAGGTCATATTGTATGATATTTTTTTTATAGGTATCAGTCATTTCTTTCATTATTTTAAATAAACATCTTGGTATATTTGTAGCGAAATATTTAAACATTGTATAAAAAGTGTTCAATAACACAAGTAAGAACTATGATTGTAATGAGATAATAATATAATTGTACCACCATATATAACAAACAACCTTATGTTTAATCTTTCTTTCAATATTATATAAAACTTCATCCACTTCTTATTAGCTGTAAACCAGTAAACGGATTCTTACAGAAAGTTTCTAGAAGATGCATGAAATCTAGTCAAAGATGTGACACTCTTTGTTAAAACAAATACTGAATATTATCGAATAGCTGCTAAATTAAGAAAGATAGTTGTGAAAATAAATACTGATAATTCCTATCTCATCTGGATAATTTCAGTGCTACTGAGTTTTTATAGACTGACTGATTGCTTAATTGGAAAAATTCTATCAATAAAAAGTTCAGAACTATCAAGACGAACTGATATTCTTTCCATTGGAACCTGGTACTTACTAAAAAATAATTTGGAATGAAGAAAGTAGTGGTCAACCGGAGAAACAGCACTATCGTCAACAATGGATCGCTGTTTGATACCCCTGGATAAGATTTAGGAAATAAAGAACAAGAAGATAGCAATCAACAACAACCGAACAACGGCAAAGGAAGACAAGCCACAAGTCAAATATAGAGGATGTATGGACATACGAAGTTCTAAGTTGTAACTGACTGATAACTGCATTCATTTATTCATAACATTGACGTTAGATGAAGAAAATAATATCGGTGTCTCATTTTTAGACATCTTATTACAAACAGATAAGTCAATTTACTTACTTTAACTTTTAGTCATATTACAATCGAAAAAGGTGCGAACGATTTCGGGAAATCTACAAGTACACGAACGATGAGTCAATTAATTAGGCCTTGAAGTCATAAGCGCGATGATATTAATTAGTAGTATTTCAGAGTGAGCTTCGTTCAATGTCTAATTGAACTGCTACTGTAATTAAGAAAAGCGGAATACTAGATAGGAAGACACAATCTAGTGGTCAAAAATTATACATCTTATAAAACATCCAGTTGCAAAACCACCGTATTCTTGGTTGCCTTCACCCATATCTTCTTTTCCTGATCTTACCATGCATTCGGAAACAAAACTCTTTTCTTCAGCAGTAACTTCAGAATGCCACTCTGCTGCATTTGCACTGCATACTACTTATAAGCCTCAATGTCAGTAGCACACATCACAGTACGATAAAATGATTCCACTAAACTAAACAAACAGAAACGTACTAACGTTCATTACTAGTATTTACTGGTTCAGCTGCATGAAAGTCATACCAACATGTAGCTTGTGTTCATGAAGAATAATTATTTGGTAAATGTACAATTCTATAGTTTTGTAATCAACTAAGAATTATGATAAGAAAGGGTGAGAAATTTTTTATTATTAGTGGGGTGGATGTGGTTATTAAATTCAGGAAATACCTATGATGTTACGATTTCTATTGATAAAATGCCTAAGGGATTTGCAACAAATGAATGGTTTAACAATGTACAAAAGTGTAACTATCTACCACATGTTTCAACTGTTGTCATGGACAACGTACAACCTGTCATATCGATCCAAGTTGTTACAATTCACATCAGTATAGGGAATCCTATCAATAGGATTTGCAAATGTATCAAAATAATAACCATATTAATGATATTACAAGAAAACTAGATATTTAGGAAAACATATGTTATCTGGAGATGATGAAAAGTGCTACTGAAGCTCACGAAGAAGTAGAGAAGAAACATATCTACACTAATCCTGCTAAATCTGAACTCTCCCAACTATAGTTTCCAACTATTAGTTACAATTATCGTGTGACTAGTAATCAAGCAGCTTAAACACTCATACATATTCAAAGCATTATTTCTTATAATCTCTTTTGTTAGTTTTTAATTTTCAGCCTAGATGCACCCAACCAAAGACAGCCTTGAAGTAACAGTTAGTAGTACAATCATTAAATTACGGTTGGTGAATTTTTAGACATTTTAATTTCTTGAATTCAGCATTAGAACATGTTTCATGAGAATAAAACATGTGCAGAAAAATAATATCGTTTTCGGAAAAGATTTTTCATGTGCAAACTAACAAAATGATGAAAATATTCCAAGTCGTATGGTGTACAACAAATCAGACATTGTAAATCCCATACAAAAAAGACATTTTTTTATTTATAGACAAAATAGTATAGCCGACTGGTCAATTCACATGCCCGTATATATATATATAATATAAATATGTTAGGAAGTCTAGATTTTCTTGTTTGTTCTTGTTCTGGTTAAAAACCAGCATGTTGATAATATTTCGTAAAGTAAGAAATCTTTCTCATTATTTTTATTAAAAATACCATAGTATTGCACGAACATTTTTACAGTAAGCAGTTCTATTTCATTTGACAGAATAATAATAATAAACATTAAAATTTAGACTACTGTTGTACAAAAGATAAGCATAGAACTACAAAAATGCAATGTAAATTATCTCCAACTTACAGTACAATTGATTGTAAACTTATGTTACATATAAACTATCATGTGTTTGCTTTCATTGAGCCGAAAAATCTAGTTATACCTAAGTTATATATTGTGGCAGATATGTGTAAGTGAAAACAAAATGTTAGTCAGTTAGTTTCAACGTTGAACTTCGTACGTGCGTACATCAGTTCAGATTGCCATAACACATTAGTACAGAGATACAATTGTCAATTCAAATCCCATAGTGGGAGAGATAGTAGAAGTATTAGAGGTAATGGAGAAAATTAGGGTTCGAAGATATTATTCGAGACGTATATTTCAGTGAGATAACTTTAGATAGAGGTGATGACAAAATCAGAAGATCAGAATTAGAGTGCAAAGAGTGAATGCACCTGTGCCATTGCAAACGATTTTGAGCCATGTCGTTCAAGGTCTCTAACCATTGGTGACTTTCGTCTCGCAGACCCCAACCAGGTAGTCTACATCTACCAACATGACTTAGTCCACTTGTCAGTAACTTTATGGATTTGTGCCATGTTTTGGTTTGGCCGCCCCTAGCTTTCTTCCAACCTACTCCTACACCATAAAACATCGCTCGTCCAGGCAGTCTGTGGTTGAGCATACGTAACACATGTCCCAACCACCTCAACTGATGAAGTTCCACTACTTCATCTGATTACACGAGTTTCTGAACAATTTGAATGCAATCTAATTCAATACTATTACTGTTAACTCTTATTGAACAATACGTACAACTGTATAATTCCACCATTAAAAGTAGGCTAATTTGGAGGTCAAAGTACACATAAACATGTTTTTTTAGAAAGTTTGAGCAATTCTGACATTTACAAACAGTATCTTCCATTTTCAAAATAAATTTAAATTCAAAACAATAATTAATTTACTGTTAAAATTTACACATTTTTATTTCATCATCAAATTTAAACAAAAGTCAAACTGGAAAAAAAAACAAATGTAGTAGTTATATACACATAACAGTAGAAAAGTTCAGTTTCAATCAAGAAATAATCAAAGGAATGTTTATAACCTAAATGAATGAATATAAACAAATAATAACCAACAATAGACAATAACAACAATTGAAACACAATAATAGAACTGCATAGTAAAACAAATTTATATTTTAAGCGAACATGATTTTGTTTTTCCTTCGCATAAAACACATTACCATCTATTATCAATGAGAATGATGACATAGATAATTCAAATAACGAATAAAAGTTGATCTCTTTTTTCTTCTTCTTCTTGATTATTGCACAGAAAAAAAATAATTAGTGATCATATTACACGAAATGAGTTAAACATTTCAGTGTATATAAACAACCAACAACAATAATAACAACCAGTCAGTCAGTCAGTTGGTTAGGTACAACGTAGAAGAACTTCGTATGTACATACACCAATAATCGATCGATTCACACACAAAAAAAACCGGAATTTAGATATGTGTGCCATAATTATGCAGAAAAAAAAAGAGAGAATTGAATGTTATACATACTGGTGTAGTTACATGGACAACAAATGCAACAAACAATAGACTGGGCGCAAACATGCCTCTCTATGTATGTGGAAGATTATTATTGATTGATTGACAAAATCAAATATAGACAGGAGAAAAATAAATGCCATGTTTTACACAAGGGACTAGATATATGAATATATATATATATATATATATATATATATATATATATATATAGCCAATCGGTCCAGAAACAAATGACTAACGAGAAAATCATTACAAGTTTTACAACAAAATACAAATACACATTAAACACATAAATGCATTGAAAAATAAAAAATAAAAATTGTTTATAATTATTAATAAATGTCAACTTCTGGTTGAATACATTTTTGATTCTTTTTCATGTAATACAGATTTGTCTTGAAAATTTTTACATATACTTTCATGATTGCTAGAACATGATATATTGTCAGATTGATTTTTTAATGAATCAGTTTCTGTGACAGAACAAGATGTAGTAGTGTTGTAGGAATTAACAGCAGTAGTAACAGAATCTTTATACCAGTTTGGAAAAGGTGTTCGTGGCAAAAGTTCTGAATAAAATAGGAGATAAGCCTGAGCTGATGCTACTTCTGAGAAATCGCATAACGATACATTAGCATCATTGCAATGCAACCAACACTCTGTGGAGTAAAAAAAGGATTTATGGGATAAATAACCAGCGTATATTAAATATCAGCTTTTTATATTATTTCAAGAAAGATACAAAATTTATGACCATAATCATGGAGAAGATATATTAAGCGTAAGAATTAATCAAATAGGTACCAACCTGGATTATCATTTAAGCAATAAGCAGTATAATGACCAGATTGAAATCCTCGCCCATGATGCACAACAACACCGGTCAAATGATACAGATATTCAAGTGAACTTTTCTCGAACTCCTTTGGCAAATTAAATATAGATGACTGATGACAGTGTAAATTATCGATAGGGGCTTTAGGTTCATCGATAAGATCGGAATTTGTTCGATGTAAATGAGGCTGATGACATTCTGCTCTGTCTATGTCATTCAACATGAATTCACTCATATTCAAGATAAGAGGAAATGATACATGACATGACAGTTTTTCTCTTTGTCTACCAACCCAACTGGGAAAAAAAAACACAATTAAAAGATATGTAGTGATAAAATAATGTAAAGTTTGGTAGAGAGTATATATATATATATATATATATATATTATGATCACAACACTGAATTCAACTAGGACAAACGGATATCTTTGGTAGATTTGACGTTGATAATGCGTGATTGAATTAAGAAATAACTTTCCTCATCGAAAGTACGTGAAAAACCGAGTTTCAAATGTAGGTAGCAGAGTAGACAGTTACAAAAAATCTCTTTTATATTGTGTTATTTCCGTTTATTTGTTTGCTTATATTGAAGACGCATAAAAATGTCATATTTCACTACTTTAACTAATAATAACTAAATTTAAATGTGAAATTGACTACAATCATTTTGTTTTGATACTTCATGCATAGCATTGAGTCCTAGGGCAGAACAATCCCTCCTTGACTGGATCCCAATAGATAGTCGATTGTGCGCTGTCCGACTAAACGGGACAGTAAGGACTCGGAAAGATAGGGACAATCGCCGTTGCCTCTTCGTCGTATCTGCCTATGCCCCCACTGAATGCAGTTCAGACGAGGTTAAAGATGAGTTTTACAGAAAGCTTTCGGACCTCCTCCAAAAAGCTAGGCGCTCTGATATAGTAATAATGGCTGGTGACTTTAATGCTCAAGTAGGTAGACTAAGTGAGCAGGAGAGACACCTAGGTGGATGTTATGGTGTCCCGGCTCAGAGAACAGACAATGGTGACCGTCTGTTGCAACTATGCTCAGACAACCGCCTATTCTTAGCAAACACTAACTTTAGGCATAAGGAAAAGCATCTGTTGACCTGGCGACCTCCAAAGTCGTCTCAACGTTGGACTCAACTAGATCACATCGCCATCAGCCACCGATGGAGGGGTTCGATAGAGGACTATCACTCGTTCTGGAGCACATGTCTAGATTCAGATCATGCCCTAGTGCGAGCACGTATTTGTTTGAAGCTTACTGGGCGTAGGAAAGACACCGTAAGAAAGCCTCTTAGGGTTTTACTTAATGATAATAAGGCGAAAAATATATTTCAGGAACAACTAGAAAGACAGTTAGGCGACCATTTAAGCGATTCCCATCCGGAAGCAGGATGGAATGATATCAAAAAGGCTGTGGAAACAGCAGTGATATCTGCTAGCAAGGTTGACCATAAGGCTAGAATGAAACCGTGGATCTCAGTAGCATCCACCGATCTGATGGATGCCCGAAAACTCATCCCACCTGGCTCTGAACATGATGAAGAACGAAGTCAACTTAGGCGCAGACTTATAAAAAGCCTACGTAACGATCGCGAACAGTGGTGGGTGGCGAAAGCAAAAGCGATGGAAAAGGCAGCGGCGATCGGCAACACTAGACAACTTTTCCGACTTATCAAGGAAACTGGTATTAGGAATCCTAGTGTAAGTGAGACTATCTCAGAAAATGACGGGACTATTATTTATTCTCAATCCAGAAGACTGGATCGATGGGCAGAACACTTTAGGGATCAGTTCAACTGGCCTCGAGCCACTCTTCAGTTACCCACGATCTCCAGTCATCCTGAATGGCAAATCGACCTAAGTCCCCCTAGTCTTAATGAAGTTGAAAAAGCGTTAGGAAATCTGAAGCAAGGGCGAGCTGCAGGTCCTGATAGACTGACCCCTGAGATATTTAAGGATGGTGGTCCAGTTTTAGCAGCTAGGTTGACTGAGATCTTAGGTAGAATCTGGGAACTGGACGTAATCCCATCCGACTGGTCTCAATCACTGATTGTCCCAATCTATAAGAAAGGACAGAAGTCTTCTTGTGACAATCACAGGGGGATAAGTCTAACTAATATAGTATCTAAAATATTGGCCTCAATAATACTTCGACGCTTAACGAAAGCTCGTGAAGAGCAAACTCGAGAAAACCAGTCTGGTTTTCGACCTGGACGTGGCTGTATAGACCACATTTTCACACTACGACAGGTCCTGGAACAGAGACACACATTTAGGCGTCCTACAGTAGTTGTTTTCCTGGACCTTAAGGCGGCATTTGACTCAGTGGATCGTGAGGTTCTGTGGCAGTGTCTGTCATTGAAAGGTGTACCAAAGAAGTACATTAACCTCATACAAGCTCTCTACTCAAACACCACTGGTCGAGTGAGAGCTTATGGCGAACTGTCACCGGAATTCTCTACTTCAAGTGGTGTCCGTCAGGGATGTCCACTCTCTCCATTCTTGTTTAATTTTATCATAGACATGCTCCTAGACATAACCTTATCCTCGTCTGAATTTTCTGGAGTAGACCTACCAGGTGGCTCGCTTATTGACTTAGAATATGCCGATGACATTGTCCTACTTGGTGAAGACGCTGACAAAATGCAGAGTCTTCTGACTACCCTAAGCAACAATGCAAGCATGTTCGGGATGCGGTTTTCTCCCTCGAAATGCAAAATGTTGCTTCAAGATTGGGTTTCATCGGCACCTGAACTAGTGATAGGGAGTGAAGTAGTCGAACGTGTAGACCGCTTCACTTATCTTGGGAGTCTCATCAGTGCCGATGGCCTGGTGACTGACGAAATCTCGGCACGGATACAGAAGGCTCGATTGGCTTTTGTCAACCTTCGTCACTTATGGCGTAGGCGAGATATCCGTTTGCTGACTAAAGGACGAGTGTACTGCGCAGTGGTTCGCTCCGTCTTACTTTATGGCTGTGAAACATGGCCAATGAGAGTAGAAGATACTCGTCGGTTATTGGTTTTCGATCATAGGTGTCTTCGAAGCATTGCTCGTATATCGTGGGACAACCGAGTGAGCAACGCTGTTATTAGGAAACGGGTGCTAGGTAAGAATGGCAGATCAATCGATGAAGTGGTGAAACTTCATCAGTTGAGGTGGTTGGGACACGTTCTGCGTATGCCTAACCAGCGACTCCCTCGTCGAGCTTTGTTTTGTAGTGTCGGAATAGGTTGGAAGAAAGCTAGGGGCGGCCAGACCAAAACATGGCATAAATCCATGAAGTCATTGACGAGTGGACTTAGCCATGTCGGTAATTGTCGACTACCTGGTTGGGGTCCGCGAGATGTTAATAATCGATGGTTAGAGACCTTGAATGACATGGCTCAAAACCGTTTGCAATGGCGCCAGTGCATTTATTCTTTATGTCCTCTCAAATCCTAATCTTATGAATTCTTCAACCCCTCTAGTTTCGACTTTCTAAGCTTATCTCACTGAATCGTACTTCTTGAATAATATCCTCTAATCCTAACCTCTCTGATTACTTCTAATACCTTTACTAACTCTTCTACTATTGGATTTGAATTGACAATTACATCTCTGTGCTGATGTGGTATGGCGACATGAACTGATGTACTTACGTACGATGTTCTACGTTGCAACTGACTGACTGACTGACTTTGATACTTCATGACACCATCATACAAATGATGGCTATGTAAAATAAATCTCTTTCACTTGATCTACAGCAAACAATACCACATCAAGGTTGCTTGTCAATAAATAATTATTTTTTATTCAACATTAAAACTATCGAGACTAGGTGCTTGGCTTTAACAAAAAAACTGACTGGCTAATCTACTTGATAAGTTATAATGGGTAAGATTTGACTGCAAACAATTGATACTCCTTAAAAAACTAGCCTTTTTAGTTGTGATGATGGCAATAGATAAATGTACTTGATTCAAAAAACGTGAACACTTAAAGTAAAGTGATCAATGATCGAGGTGTTGTAGCATTACTTTGTGAGAAGTCTAAGCTTTCATATAATAGAAGAATGAAAGAACCGGTACACGATTCCCTAACAAATTGTGCTATACCCGTAGACCATATTTCATCTTAAAGAAATACAGTGATTACAACAGATATCTACTGGCATGGATCTAACCTAATCCCATAATCAATGAGCCAATATATTCGTACATTTTTAAAGGATGAAACGTGAACTCAAAAGCTATATAAGTCAAATTTAATGAAGGTGATGAAAAAAATAATTCGAAAATCCACTTACACAGCTCTTTTAAATGATTACACTGAAAAATAACGTAAACAATTTACTCTGAAAAGTAGACATATTAAAAGACATACCGGAAGCGTTTAATATGTAACCGCAAAACTCGCGGGAGTTTAGAAAGGCGAATTGTTTGAGTTGCATGAGTTAATAATGAATTCTTAGGAAGAACTGGAGAATTCTTAGGTAAAGTGGTGATTGGGGATTGAACGGGTTGCTGAGTAATCTGAAATGATCTTTCAATTGGTGGATTGGTGTAATGTTCCTCAAGACTAGTTGCACTTGAAGCACCGGAAAATGGACTTTCTGAGAGTGAAAAGGTTTCAGTTAACTCACATGATGTACTGAAATCAGGGTAAGATAACTGAGGACTACAAGATGGAGACGCAAGCCTGGATAGCGCAATAGATACAAATTTTTCCACTAAAAAGTTGGAAAAAAAAGATTAGAAATACCATTGGACGATTGAAATAAAAATCATGATATGAAAACAACCGAATCAACCTTCATCACAAAACTAACAGATTTACAAAGCACTATTGTAGCTAGCAATCAGTTTTTATTTTAAATGACAACCAACAACTCAAGAAGGATTTCAGTAAAGCGTATCGCATTTAGCAAGATAGTCGAAAACCAAAGTACGACGTGGCGCAGATTTTCATAGGTAAAAGTTCTCATGTTTTACATAATCGTTGGTGTTTGGGTGATTGGAAAATCTCAACACCATTACAAGACGCCTGTTAGGCTTTTTGAAACTTGTGTCATGTATATTTTAGGCGGGGTGTGTCATTCTATCTACCTGTCTCTTTACCAACGAGCGAGTGTATTTGACAACATAGAGTTGTTTCGCTTCACAGACGTGGAACATGGTCTTTGGAGATAGAGTACATGTGTAGATTGTGGGCATTTGAGCGTAGATATCTTTTGAGTATCATTTGCACATGCTGGAACCACTTGGTCTATCAAGACTTTGAGATGGTTATGTAACTCAACTGTCTGATACGTTACCGGACATGGCTCAAAATAGCAGTAGCTATCCTTCTGTAGTTTTGTATTACATTCTTCATAAAGGTAAAGAAAAAGTTTATTTTGATTATGTTTATAACTGAACTGCATCTTCCATCAAGTACTCTTGTTATTCATTTATTGAATGATTTCCAAAATCTATTTTCCGCATCATTGTTTTTAACATTATCATTTCATTAGTTTGGCAAATTTTGCATACGTTACAAATAAAAAACGATATACTTCTTGTGGATGATTTATTGCTGCTGATTCTCTCACAGTAAACCAAATTTGTATCACAACGAATAATTCATGTTATAAAGTCATTGTGACATAGAGTGCGGCTGTGAAGCTATCTTCAAACAGTTCAGACTAGTAGGCATACGGATATTCTGTCCTAAAATCATTGTTTTTTAATATGCAGCAAACTAATTTTTCCTCAAAGAGTTAAGCGCAATGCTCTTGCTATCGTTGATTCTATTTGAAAGTCTTACTAATATCTACTTAAAAGCTCTAGTTACGTAGAACTCTTATTCTCTTTACAAAATATCTCAAATGAATAAAAGGTTTGCAGTTTCCAGAACTACAATCGACTGAAGCGAGAATCCTCAAAGTAATACAATATCTGAGGGATGATGTACGATGATTTATGGAAGTGATAAAACTACCATATACTTGACAGCAGGAAAATTATATCTATGAAGGATAGAAGTTTCGAAAATTCTGTAATCACGTTTGAAAACGAGACGGTAAAATAAATAAACCACTCTCTGTATTGCACTTGACTGGGAGTAAACGAGTGATACACTTACTAAATAACTAATATTACAAGTTATTATCTACCTACTAACCACATGTAGCATGTAGGCCTTTAATCCATATTAATGATGAAAATTCGACCGGTATCCTATGTAATATTCACGCCGAAGAATGCCAGATTTTTGGTGCTCTATAAGACTGTGAAATGAGAAAGTGGAACTACGTAATTCCCTCTGCATTAGTTTACTAGACCATATGCTATGGAAAAGTAAGAATGACAATCTATGCTTTATATTTACCAAATGGTAGAATAATTCAAAATAAGTAAGGAACAGTAAGTAAGTAAGTAAGCTAACAAAACATACCAGGATAAGACAAATTGCCTAAATGATCATCTGAATTATAACTGCGTTGATTGAGCGCTGGTCCCGTAAAGCCTGTTTCTTCTTTGTTTATTTCTGAACACTCATTGCATTTAACACATGCATAACTGGCTCCATCGATTGGAGAAGGGCTTACAAATTGACGAAGCAAATCTACTATATCACATGTACAATATTCATCAGAATGGCATTTGGCGGGTAGTGAAAGACTAAGTTCATAAATCGGCTCTTCAGTGCATGCAGTTACATGGCAAGTGGAACACTGTATATGACTCACAGAATATCCACGAAAAGCACGAGTGATAAAATCACAACCATTGGGAGAGACAGTCATTGGAATACCATGTAGTTCTGCTTGTAAACGATCAAGTAACAAACTCAAAAATTCCTGAGCATCTTGTTGTTTATATCCTTTAAATGTTGGGAGGGTAGCCCAAACAACACTCAAGAGGTTGCTTGGACTCACAATAGACCTTTGACCTGACCACAATAATTTAAATAAATTATGTATTTCTTCATAAAGAGAAGGTATTGGTGATACTGGTGGGTTAAGTGTTGATGAAAGTGACTGCTGATAACAATCATATACAGACTTTGGACACTCGCCACCATTTAAACCACCAAAAGACTCGCACTTGGGAACGACGCTTTTTCTTACAGAAACTAAATCTGGCTCACAATAATGACCAGAACTATTTCCTGTATTTGGAGAATATGAAGGTGTTTTGGTAGGCAGTGAACTCCACAGATTTTCAGAGTCCTGAGTTATCATAACTTGGCCTTTTGAAAACAGTGATACCATTGCTGGTCGCTTGGCAGGACACACAGGGTCTTCAATCGACAAGTCACCAAGGTGGCTGCGACGCTTCCTCGTATGAGAATTAATTTCACTCAACGTGTGGTTCATGACATAATTAGCGAAGGGAGCAGTGTGACTAAAAAAAAGTTTATTAACAACTACTAAATTATGTTACCGCAAGATTTGTAATATTGAATTCATGTAACAGGTGTTCCCCAAATTGCGTAAACCAGTAAATGCAGGGGTTAGTTTCAGTGGTGTATTTCTGCTTTTCGTCGTTTTCTTGGAGTTAACTGCGCTAAGCTGATGGATTTATATATGCCTGGCTAGAAGTGACTTACCCTCGACTCAGAATATCTTGACCACCATAGATGTAATGCCCAAGAAAGACATGAAATTCTTGAAACTTGTTGATTTATGGGAAGTGTTACCTGTTTCGGACAACCGCAGTTTGTATATCATCTGCCTTCAACAGACGTAAATTGTCCCTACGTAACTGTAGATAATAAAGTAGCCTTCTTACTTTTCATTGTCTTCGCCACGGAACCTAAGAATTCGTCTACCCCTTTTTTGTTTGAGAAGCTTTCCGAAATCTTGAGTAGTGACTGCATCCAAAGCCATACGGAGAAGTTTAATATCACCGGGTGCATTGTCATTGAGAACAAAATCATCACAGATATAACTTGAATCAAACACTTAGGAGGAACAGGACTTACCAGTATACAAACTTTTCATTTACTTCTATACACAGAGGATGCTACTCTTCAATAAAATAGTTAGGTGGGAAACTTACATTTGTTTGGCGAAAGTGTTGCAACGCATGCTCAGAAATATAACGACCACATGCGAAGTTGTTACATGACAGACAGGCCCAAACACTCTCGGTTGTATGGCAAGTGTTGCAATGCCAGCGCTCGGGATAGAGTATTCCTAGTTGGATACTTGTCTTTACTTTGAGGACGTGCTTGCAATTATCTGTCATGAAACCTGTGCATTAAAAACAATACAAAAAACTAAAAAATATATACAGGTACCCAGACCACAAATGCAAACAAATTAGTTGACTACAGCCCAAAACATGAATATTGTTCGGGTATAAAGAAAATGAAGCTTATACAATTTGGAATGATTTTCCATATCTAAAGTACTTGAAAACATTTTATAGTCTTGCCTGAAGAATATATCCGTAGGCAGCCAAATATCAACCAGCTGAATAGAAAATTCAAACCAGACGTTTATGAACGAAATAACAAACGTGAACACGTTCGGCTATGTCATAGTCAGTCATACACAACACAGAACCTGGAACATGTGTGTATTAGTTCAGGCTGCCACACCACATCATAGTATTAGGATAGAATTTTCATCGTGAATCACATAGTAAATATATAATGGTATTGTTAATGAAGGCGACAAGAGGTTGATTAATTGTATGCCTAATACAGATCTCTCCATAAGAGCAGCTGGTTCCATATAGACACATGGATGTGACAGATTCAAATGACTCTTCCGACTGCGGATTCGCAATTAGTTAATCTGTCACCACACTATCAATTAAAACCATTTTAATAACTGTTTGGTTTAATAATCCATTTCTTTATCATTGATCAGAGAATTTTTTATGTGCATATAAGTATCAGTTTATACTAACACCAGATAATGATCTTATTTAAAACAATATCACCCGCTTATCAATACTTAAATCTGTAACACGGAAATTTTTAAGGAACTCATTAGCAAGCTCATGTCGTTCAGTGGACAAATGATAGCAGGAAGATGTTATATTACCAAGTTTTAGTAGATTTTGAACGTCCTTACCTGGCACAGTACAGGTGAACGTTGAAAACGTAAATACAGAGTAAATTTATAATGAGCTGATCAAGGAGATTTAGAAAAACAGGATGATGAACCTAGTTACCAACTAACCAACAGTGGAAATTACCGTTATACGAAAGTTCGGAACTTGAAAATAAGTTCAAAAAACCAATCACTATTAGGATAACAATGGTTACGAATAACGATGTTGTATACAGGTAACTAATTAGCATCCAAGTGGACTTTACTAACTGTGCTGCATAGATCTTACCGGATATTAGGGCAGAAATAGCATACAAGTGCCTCTTAAACAATTTGCATAAAAAGTTATAAACTTGTTACTGCTTCTCAGTTCAAATGAAGGATAATTAGAATTACTAACCGCTAGGACGAAAACCAAGAATCTAAGCATCAAAATCGGCGCCTAATAATTTCCATCCTGTGTCAAAGGTACAATGAACCACCATATATGAAATGATGTGAGGATTCCTTTTAGCTATGATAAACATTTTTATAGACAACATCACAGCATGATTTTGACTAGGGGTTCCAATATAATTTTTACGAGTTGGTACAGAAAATTGATTTAAATGATGTTGGGTATAGTTTTTAATTATGGCTCACGGTATTGGTTAGCGTCCAGTCGATGGCGGTATAGTGATTCAGCTACACTGCATAGCAACAGAAGAAATAAAAGTGGGTTATCTAACATTCGATCACGAAAATGTGGCGCTGCCTCTACCCACCCATTTCTGTGAGACGGAATATTTCGTTTTCTTGCAGCAATTATTCAATTATATTGATGTTACTTTTTATCAAGTACAAAGTTCAGTAGTTGATCAAACCTTGGTGCTCCAACACACAACATTCGGACTTTTTTAATGTTTAAAGTCGCATCATTATTTTCTTATGTTTCACAGCACTTTTATTTCTCATTGCTAATAAACAGATAAATTACGGAACTACTGATCACAATAAACTCAAACTACCATTGAGCGTTCTTTCGAAATTATAAATCACTAGTTTATTAAACCATTATAACCGTAATTTAATACCATGTCAACACCTTACTTTCCTACTTAGTTATCGCTCTACTCAGGAAATATTAACACTATTCCTCTTCTTACCCTTTCATTACTTGCCTATAATTCCCATCTCCAAACAACAAAGTAATTGACACATATCTTACCATTCATAACATAAGTCCACCTAATATCACTGTGAGGTTCGTCATGGCTACATAACCCATTGACAATCCATTAAGGCCGTCTGGTTGCCTTGTAATAGGCAGCTAATTGGAACACTGAATTTCAAAAGGATGAGCTGTAAATAGAGCTCAGAACAAAAAACATTTGTCAAAACATACCGAAAAAGTTACAGAGCATAACATCAATAGAGAACGGAGGGTGGTGTGTTGTCGAGGACGTTAGATCCCCAGAACTCACTTGGAAAAGGTCCTGAATCTGTAATTTATTTCTGAAATTTTAAATTTTTATGTTAGCTTACGTTCCATACTTGTAAAAACCTTGACTGTCATTATCTGACTGATTATTTTAGTACACTATTTTGTGGCTCTCATCAAGAGCGTTTTATCTTTGCATAAATAAACGTGAGTTGTGTGATTGTGGACCTCGTACTTTCTGGTTGCCTGCTGAATACATTATCTACGCTTTATCAAGACTTCCTGCTCTAGTTAGTGCGGCCTTGGGCTATCGGACTAGAATAGCCTGTATCGTTGATCTTCGTTCCGTTTTCCGAGTAAAGTGAACTCGTAATAGCTGTAAGCATATAATGTATCTAATGTTAAATCATGATAATGTGGCAATCACTTCAACCCACCCATGTCTGTGGGACAGAACATTTCGTTTGCTTGCTGCTCCTTACCATATAGCAGGATGTAACTAATCAATGATAATGATGTTACTTTTCCAAGTCAACCACATCTACGACTTATATTCGTAACCTGGGACTGGCCTCCCTTTCGACCAAGAAATCCCAATACAAACTGATTCGGGCAATTATGTTGAAAAGGAACTCACTCCTGACTTATTTAGGCAACCATGATAAAAAACAACGAACAGAATACCACTAGTGCATAAAATCACCGCACCCTCACTATTATATTCTGTAAATCAACAGAACTCCTAACAATTTAGTTCTTTTTAATCTCCTCTGTTCATGAGATTACTTGCCCATTCGTTATCTCACTAGTGACTTGTCTTCACTAGCCTACATAAGTGCATGTGTACAGTTAGTGTTCTGATATAGAAAAAGAAAGGTGTTAGTAATCACACCTACCTAATCATATCTACTCAGGAGCCTGTCAAGATATAATCTGGCAAATCTCAACAAGAAGATCATTACACATTTCTAGATTATCCAGTAAACAAGGAATGACAATGACGCATCGTTATGTGGCTCTAGGTCTTCTAAACAAAGAATTCGTTTGTCAACCAACAAATGACCAGCTGTTCACCAAGCAGTTTTAATTGTATGCCGTTTCTATGGTAGATGACGTCCATTGGCTTTTCTTCTTTACTCATCGTTGCAAAGGAAAAACTCGAGAAGCGACAGTCAGATGCGTATTGCTTTCATTATCTTCTTATAGTTGTTAAGAATGTGATATTTTGAAACGGTTGTTTGGAAAGACACATCATGTTGGTTGGACCTTGTTTAAAGAGTTAACCAGAGGTTCTGTGCGATTTTGGCCTAGACCACAAATACATTAAAATTTCTTGTTCAGGAGTAGAATATAGCGAGGAGGTTATAATTAAAACAAACAGACTTTTCAACAAATAATTAAAAATGATTTAGAATAAGTTCTTGAACTCTTTGAAGCACTGCATGTATTCAGTGCTACCATTAAATCTCTGCAAGACATCACTCACAAAGATGTAGGGTTCAGATACTTATATCGGCGCATGATCTGTGTACCCGTTACTCCATAAGCCTAAAATTCGAAGAACATGCCTCAACTATTATCTCTTTATGCAGACGACTACTTGGGATCATAAATAAGATCTTCTTGACAAGTTAGGCTAAGCTTATATTCTTCAAAATTTGTATAAGGCCCTCAGTTGAATATTGCTCACTTATCTTCCCAAACATAAATATCATAGACAAGATACGAGAAGAAATGTCCAGAGATGCTTCATCCGACGACTGCTCGGATGGAGCCATAACCTCGACTACACAGAAAGGTGCAAGCATCTTTCCCTAGAAAGACAAAAGACAACCTTATACTTCTCTATAAACTGATAAATGGTCTCTCATTCGTAAAATACCGTCCAATTATGAACCACGACACTGCTCACAGACTTGGAAACAACGCAGATACACTATTTACGGCAAAACAAAAAATCCTTGCGTTGTAATTTCTTTGTATTTCGACACAGTCTATTGTGGAACAGACTAGCAATTACTATTCGTATCTGTGACACAATCACTAAGTTCAAGAAACTAGTAGTACTGTTGTTAGACTCTGAAGAGATTTATCGACTATTCCCGGAACTCACACTAAGCCCCCAGGCACTCTTGTATGGTCCACCAAATATTTAGATGAAACATAGAAACTAATTACAGACTATGAACACATTATGCCCGCATTACCATCCGTACAGGTGTCACGAAATGATAGACAAATCCTCCTGGTCCTACTAATAGTAATAGGTTACCTCATTAAGGTGCTACCCGTGACTTTTCTCTAAATTTAAATTCCAATCATTATTTTCATATCTTCAGAGCAGTTTTAGTTTTTGTTTCTTGTAGACAGACAAACTGAAAAGCCCGTAAATACTGATGAACTACTGTCAGTAAAAAGGAACTCAAACTCCTTTGTAAGTTCTTTCTTGTTTAAGTATTGAAAGTTTATTAAATTTTTATTTACCCAATTCATTAACATCCAAACACCTTTCCTGCTTACCAACTTATCGCTCTTCTCAGTTTGTAACATTATTTCAAGTCTCGTTTTCTTTCTTCTTTTTCAAGCTCACTATCCTTCCTATCTTCAAACTACTTAATAACTGATACATACTTGAATTCAGTGTGGCACGTTACGTGGATATTTTGCCTTTCATAATGAAATGCCTTTAACGTGGATCTAGTACAGAAAGTGAATTCCGATAAGTTGTACAAAAAGTAGAGAGTAGACTAGAAAACATTGTTAATAATGTAAATGTATTTCTGCAGTGGCCGTCCCAATTGGTTCCAATAGAGGCTCTCCTGTACGCTTTTCCCAGTTCCGGGTCCCAACCAATTCAAAAAGGACAAATTTCTAGGAGGAAGCGTCTGTATTAATTAAAAAATGGAAATACAAAGCATTACCTGGAAATAGTGCTTCTTCCAGGGTTCAGTTACTCCGCAGAGTATCAGACACAGTAACAAATAAGTGACGCTAAGTCCAGCGGCCACGGAATCAGTCCAAAAATGTGGCGGTAGCCATATTATATCAAATTTAAACAACATATGTACAGTTCAGAAGCAAACACAAAAACTTCAATATAAGTACAAAATATAGAAAGAATAACAATATACAATGATAAAATCTCAAATTGGAATCAAATAAAGTACCAAAAATGTCAACAGAAAAAGTCCGTCATGTCATAGCAAAAATATGTAAACATGGAGGGATTTTCCAAAACACAAAGCATTCAAAAAGGATTCTACAAACAATCAACTACTAAACGTGGGAGAGCCTAACATCACAAAAGCAGGGAGTGTAGGATCTATTTTGAAGGTTTTGTTTTTGGAAAATCCCTCCATGTATATATATTTGTGTTATGTTATGACTGACTCGTTCTGTTTATAGTTTGGTACTCTATTTGATTCCATTTTGAGACTTTATCATTGTATATTGTTATTATTTCTATATCTTGTACTTATATTGAAGCTTTTATGTTTCTTCCTGAACTGTACACATGTTGTTTAAATTTGATATTTGATATGGCTACAGCCAGATTTGGATTTGATACTGTCGTAGTAACGGACTGGAATCAGTTATTCTTCCAGCAACGGAACCTATTGTGGTAATTGGAAGCTCGAAGGTGTAATATTGTTTTGGCAATTAGTCATTTTCTCCCAAAATTACCGTGTCTTTGGTTCCTGACTGGGTGAATGCGTATGAACCTACACTGTTCGAGCCGTTGTGAACTGCCAGAGTAGAAAATCCATAACAATCTATAAAACTAACAAGTGTGACATTAGAAATTTGATGCACACAATCCAGTATGAATTCATTAATGTAGATGACCGATGTAAGCGTTGAAAGTTAGAACTCAATGCTAAGAAATATGACCTGATGTGTTTTGGAAACACGTCCGCCAAAATTAATTTCCCTCTCAACAGAAATGAACTGCCTAAACTCACATCAGTAGCTGATCTAGGAGTGCATCACTCGCACACACTAAACTTCTCTGAGCATATTTCC